TCTGTCGGCTGAAGGGACGGCCCCTCGAGGACCGAGGTGACCTCAGGCCTCAGGGCGAGGCAGATTGGGGCCTGGAACGCAGCCCACTATTCCCACAGCTCACAATCAGGATTCCTGCTTCTCTTTTTACATTTACTTTTAAGTATATTTTTAGTAGAGGCCCGGTGCACGAAATTCATGCACTCAGAGGGGTGGGGGGTGTCTCTCAGCTGGGCCTGCGCCCTCTCACAGCCCAGGAGCCCTAGGGGGAATGTCTGACTGACGGCTTAGGCCCACTGCCCGTGGCGGGGAGTGGGCAGTTGGACATCCTTAGCGCTGCTGCAGAGGTGGGAGAGGCACATCTCTGTTGCGCTCACCAGCTGTGAGCCCAGCTTCTGGCTGAGTGGCGCTCCCCCTGTGGGAGTGCACTGACCACCCGGGGGCAGCTCCTACATTGAGCATCTGCCCCTGGGTGGTCAGTGCACATCATAGCAACCAGACGTTTCGCCTTTAATTGATTTGCATATGAGCCTTTTATTATATAGGATAGGATTGATTTCAGCGAGGAAGGGAGAAGGCGAGAGAGAGAAACATCAGTGATGAGAGAGAATCATCAATTGGCTGCCTCCTGCACGCCCCCCACTGGGGATCAAGCCCACAACCTCGGCCTGTGCCCTGACCGGGAATTGAACTGTGACCTCCTGGTTCCTAGGTCGACGCTCAGCCCCTGAGCCACGCCGGCCCTGCTCAATTCTCTCTTTTTTAATAAGCGTTTCTTAGATCTTTGTGTCTGATAAAACACGAGCTGTAGCCAGGTGAACATGTCAGTACATATTGCTTCATTGATTTTCTTGCCACCAAATGCAATTATTGCGGCACAGAGGTTGTAACCTGTTTCTGTCTAAGATTTAGGACTCGAACAATCCTCCCCTTTAAGTATCTGACGACGATTTTCAGTGGCCGACGAGAGTACCAGCCCCTTTTGCCTATCGCCTGCCTGTGGCACCGGGTGGAACTGTGTGCCACTAGGGAAGCTGCCCACGCTTGACAACCTGGGCAAAACCCTCTGCCAACAGCTCACTCTTATGTCACGGGGATGAACGCCTGAGCGTGGGACGCAGGGCCTGCAGTCGTGGAAAAGTAGATTTTTGTTCCATTTTGCCAACTGCTCTGAAGAGCTTACACTCTCGCAGCAGTATTTGAGTCCCCACGTCCTGCGTCACGGCTGGGACCCAAACATCGCCATCCTGACCAGCTTTCACCACTCACACGGTCTCATTCGCGTTTCCGGGGTGACACAGGGAACTAAGTCTCTCTCACGTGTGAGCGGCTACTTGTGTCCCTTTATGACCTCGGCGTGTCCTGTTCTCTTCCCACGGGCGGGGTGCAGGGCTTTGTTACGGATCTGAGTGGCGTCTGTGGGCAGCCCGGGGGTTGGGACAGTGGGAGCCAGGATGGGCCCATCCTGCCCACCCAGAGGCCACGGGAGACTGGTCTCGCTCTGCGGCCCGAGAAAGGGAATCTGACAGCTCTGTCCGCCACCTGAGCCACGGCCGCTGAGAGCAGCTCTGGAGAGAGCCGGGCACGGAGTGACAGAGGGAGTGGGTACGAGGCCGTGCTGCAGGCCCTGCCCGGGTTCTGGAAGAGGGAGGAGGAAGAAGGGAGGAGGGGATTGTAGTGAGGAGGAGAGGAAACCAGGGCAAGAAGTTCATGCAGGGCCCGGCCGGCGGGGCTCAGGGGCTGAGCGCCGACCTAAGAACCAGGAGGTCACGGTTCGATTCCCGGTCAGGGCACAAGCCAGGGTTTTGGGCTCAATCCTCAGTAGGGGGCGTGCAAGAGGCAGCCGATCAATGATTCTCTCATCACTGATGTTTCTTTTATCTTTTTAAATATATTTTATTGGCCTGAGCCAAACTGGTTAGGGCTCATCATTGATGTTTCTCTCTCTCTCTCTCTCCTTTCTTCTCTGAAATCAATAAAAATATATATATTTTAAAAGTTCATGCAGGAAAGTCCTACCAGGGCCTCTGCAGGAGGGTGGGAACCTGCAGGGAGGGGGCAGAGGAGCCAGGGGGTCAGAGAAGACCTCGGGGGAAGTGGGGGACAGCCCGCCATCCTGCGACGGGCGCATTGGAGGAGGGTAAGCAGATACACTCGCGCGGACAAAGGGAACTTGGCATCCGTGGAGGAGGGGAGGTGGCAAGCGCCCCCTAAGCCCCTGGGCCACCCAGGATGCTGGGCCCACCGATCCCCAGGTCCTGGGTCCCCTCCCGCAGCGTCGCTCTGCCTTCTGCACGGACGTCGCTGCAAATGGATGTGCCCGTAGGAGGCACACGGCAGCCTCTTAGGCTGAAATGCTGGCAAAAGACCCATCGTTTCTCATCTCTGATTAAAACGTCTGAGGAAGAAAGTGGAAATAATTCAGCAAAGGCAGCTCCCGCTCTGGGAGCTGCGGGATGCACAGCAGGCTGGGAGGTGGTGGCGGGCGGCAGCCCTGGCCCCGCTCACTGCACAGCAGGGAGGCCAGGCCCGTCCTGCCAACAGACAGGGTCCACCGGGCAGGGGGGTCACCGGGCAGGGGGGTTACCAGGCAGGTGGGTTACCAGGCAGGGGGGTTACCAGGCAGGGGGGTCACCGGGCAGGGGGGTTACCAGGCAGGTGGGTTACCAGGCAGGGGGGTTACCAGGCAGGGGGGTCACCGGGCAGGGGGGTTACCAGGCAGGTGGGTTACCAGGCAGGGGGGTTACCAGGCAGGGGGGTCACCGGGCAGGGGGGTTACCAGGCAGGTGGGTTACCAGGCAGGGGGGTTACCAGGCAGGGGGGTCACCGGGCAGGGGGGTTACCAGGCAGGTGGGTTACCAGGCAGGGGGGTTACCAGGCAGGGGGGTCACCGGGCAGGGGGGTTACCAGGCAGGTGGGTTACCAGGCAGGGGGGTTACCAGGCAGGGGGGTCACCGGGCAGGGGGGTTACCAGGCAGGTGGGTTACCAGGCAGGGGGGTTACCAGGCAGGGGGGTCACCGGGCAGGGGGGTTACCAGGCAGGTGGGTTACCAGGCAGGGGGGTTACCAGGCAGGGGGGTCACCGGGCAGGGGGGTTACCAGGCAGGTGGGTTACCAGGCAGGGGGGTTACCAGGCAGGGGGGTCACCGGGCAGGGGGGTTACCAGGCAGGTGGGTTACCAGGCAGGGGGGTTACCAGGCAGGGGGGTCACCGGGCAGGGGGGTTACCAGGCAGGTGGGTTACCAGGCAGGGGGGTTACCAGGCAGGGGGGTCACCGGGCAGGTGGGTCACCAGGCAGGGGGTTACCAGGCAGGGGGGTCACCGGGCAGGGGGGTCACCGGGCAAGGGGGTCACTGGGCAGGGGGTCACCAGGCAGGGGGTCACTGGGCAGGGCTCTGTGATCAGCGTGCTGATCACAGAGGTGTGTGAGGTGGACCAGAACTTCACAGTTTACTTTCCCGTGAAATCAGGCTCAGACCACGACTGGCAGCAGCGTGGACACACGTGGGGCCCAGCTCTCACGGGTGTTCTGTGCGGGTCTCATTGCTGCCCACCCCCCGACGGCCCCCTAACCCGACACCCTCATGTGGCGCCTCGTGTCCGGGCTCCAGCCCCTGCCCGTCTCTGCCTGTGCCCTGATCACAGGTTCAGGGTCACCACTTCCAACACCCTCTGCACAGACCACGGCCCAGGAGGGGACGCTGGGGAAGGTCCCCGTCCAGGGGGGCCCTGCAGCCCTCAGTCCCTGAACTGCAGCAGCTGCCTGCAGGCGAGAGGCTGGGGGAGACGTGTGACACCCCCTTGTGCGGGAGGAGAACAGCTCCACGGAGCTAAAGCGGCTCCGAGCCTTTACCGCTTAACCCAGGGGTTCTCCACCTCTGGCCCTTTAAATACAGTTCCTCATGTTGGGACCCAACCATAAAACTATTTTCGTGGCTACGTCATCACTGTCATGTGGCTCCTGTGATGAATCGTCATGTAAATATCTGATCTGCAGGATGGGCTTAGGCGACCCCTGTGAAAGGGTCGTTCAACCGCCGAAGGGGTCGCGACCCACAGGTTGAGAACCGCTGGCTTAGCCAGTTCGGATCAATCGCCAGCCAGCGCTGCGAGCACTGCACCTGACTCACGGCTGAAGTCACCCCTCCGATGTGTAAGCCGCGCGGTCACAGGACCTCACAGCTCACAGAACCGCCCCCCTCCCGCCTCTCACTGCGCACACTGCGCTGGGAAAGTCCAACGTGAGGTCAATGGACATTTTTAAAGCTTTTTTTAAAAAAAAATTTGGACCTAAAACACCAAATAGTAAGCTAGCATCCAAAGAATACGGATGAAAATACCCTGAATTTATTTAATGAACTCATCCAAAAAAATAAATCCGAAACACCCACTGTAAGTCCAGTTAGCTACGCAAGTGTGAGCATAACATGCTTGAGGGCCCCTGTGCCTAAAGCCAACATGACAAATCCCTCATCATGGTGAGCGTGCACGTACCTGCCAGCGGCGGCCGCCCGCGCAGGACCCTGGACAGCGCCCGCTCCCGGGAGCTCCCCCTCCTCCCTCACCGGGTCAGAGCACACTCCTCACAATTATCTCCTTACACTGAAAAGCAGAGATGGACGTGTCACCTTCGCGCCGGGAAATTAAGCTCAAGACCCTATGATGAGGGCCCCCATTTTAATTCATGTTCTACTCTACCCAAGTCTATTCGTTTAATTTAATTTAATTAATTTTGGGATCAACCTACTTCATTGAGGGCCTGCAGGGGAGGGTTGAATCGCTGGGAGGACAATGATATCCGATGCCCTTGGCCCGGCCGGCTCTCCTGAACTTCAGAGCCACCGAAAACTCTATTAATTTTTTAAAAATATTTTTTATTGATTTCAGAGAGGAAGGGAGAGGGAGAGAGAGAGAAACATCAGTGATGAGAGAGAATCATAGATCAGCTGCCTCCTGCACGCCCCACACTGGGGATCAAGCCCGCAACCCAGGCCTGTGCCCTGACCAGGAATCGAACCTGGGACCCTTCAGTCCGCAGGCCGATGCACTATCCACTAGGGCAAACCGGCCAGGGCAGCTCTATTAATTTTTAAGGGTGATTTTGGGTTATGTATCTTGTAATTATAATAAAACAATGCAGCCCGTTTCCCAGTGGTGTGCAATTTTAACGGACCCCGGACGGGACAGGCACATCTTCTGTGTGCCCCTCTCTCAGGCCCACACCCCACGTGTCGGGCTGCGGCAGCGGGACTCAGGGGGTGTCTTCGTAGAGGACTTCGTCTACCTTCATGTCGTGTTCGTCCACGGGGACCTGATCGCAGATCTGCTCCTTGAACGCCAAGGCCACGGTGTAGGGCCTCGCCTGCTGGAGCTGCTCACAGCGCCTCAGGAAGGTGTCGTAGTAGCCCCGGCCGCGGCCCAGACGGTGGCCTTGCTTGTCGAACCCGAGTCCCGGCATGAAGATGAGGTCCAGGCCGCCTGTGGGGAGAGGAGCACACCGATGGGGTGACGGTTTCTGAAGGACGGGCCCCTCTGAAGCCTGCGTTTGTTTGTAGGGACATCTGTTCGCTCTCTGATGTCTAAGGACACGCGTGATTATTCTAGAACTCCCACAAGGCCCAGGTCAGACAGAGGAGGAAATAAACACGACTGGGACCGCAGGAGGCCCATCCCCCACCCCCAGAGCTCCGTGTTCTGATCGCAGGCACAGGGTCATCGCAGAAACATCAGACCCAGTCCGGCCACAGCCCAGCTCAGCGACTCCAGGGACAGGGCCTACGGTCTTGTTTTTCTTTTCCTTTTCTTTTTAAAAAAATATGTATTTTACTGATTTTTTACAGAGAGGAAGGGAGAGGGACAGAGAGTTAGAAACATCGATGAGTGAGAAACATCGATCAGCTGCCTCCTGCACACCTCCCCACTGGGGATGTGCCTGCAACCAAGGCACATGCCCTTGACTGGAATCGAACCCGGGACCCTTCAGTCCGCAGGCCGATGCT